GGTCCTATATTGCTGGCCGATACAATGCTTGAACTCACTGGCATGTCAGGAGTGGCAGTGGAATTATTTCGTAAACTACAAAGGCAAGAGGTATCAGACATTGATCTTGCCATATGCAGTATGTAAGACGTGAGTGATTGTGGCACTCATGGAGGTGCTGACCACAGTGGAACACTGCTTTTGGAGATAAGTATGGAGTATTGGGATCACATCATTCTGCATGTGTGGATAATCAACCATAACTACAGAGCTTTCAGATGAGGAAAGCCGCTAAACTACAAAGGCAAGAGGTATCAGACATTGATCTTGCCATATGCAGTATGTAAGACGTGAGTGATTGTGGCACTCATGGAGGTGCTGACCACAGTGGAACACTGCTTTTGGAGATAAGTATGGAGTATTGGGATCACATCATTCTGCATGTGTGGATAATCAACCATAACTACAGAGCTTTCAGATGAGGAAAGCCGCTTTTATGGAACTGCGTGGTGAGCTCACCCCCAGCCCTGCTGCGCAAGGACACTAGAATGAGAGCTGCACATGATGATTGCACTGTGGAAGCTGGCTACTCCTGACTGCTGTCGGTCATTTGCGGAGTGGGAAAGTTGACTATTGGACTTCTGTTAACAGAGTGCATCCTGCTGCAAAAGACCATAACTCTAAGCGATGTGAATGAAGTTGTAAGTGGCTTGGCACAAATGCCCTTCCCTAACTACAAACAGGTGATAGTAGGGGTGTGAATGATAACCACTTTCTGGTTACAATGGAGTCTGCTCCTGCCAGGCAGGGGGGCAGCTCCAGCATGGTAGGAGCAATGTGTGGTGGCAGAGGCCACTCCAGTCTTCAGGGTGTCCTTTATTCCGTCTTTCCCCTTGCTGGAGCGGGCTCCAGTTCTGTCCGTCCAGAACGCACCATCCTGCGCACCCTAGGCCAATGCCATATCCGCTAAGCCCCCTTTTATCTGCTCCTGTTAAATGGTTAACAAGTTAAATGTAATGTTTAACCTGTTAACTGATTAAATGTGATTTTACATCTCTAGGTGATAGATGATGCATATATTCCAATTCTGGAACCAGACCATCTAGACACCCAGGACATGAATTGGAAGGGGTGCTTCTCCAATTTGTGGATCTCTGTAGGTCTTTCACAGACATTAACATAGGTTGGTCTGGAAAGGTGAATGATGCACACATCTTTAGGAACATTGGCCTGTCTAGGACGTTCCCAAACCAAAAGATCACTGTAGGGGACGTTAAAATGCCCATTTTGATCCTGGGAGACCTCACCTACCCCTTAATGCAATGGTCCCTCAGTGACTGGATGCAGTCTGCCCCCTCTTCTGTCCCCCACCTGATCACATAGGTTGGTCTGGAAAGGTGAATGATGCACACATCTTTAGGAACATTGGCCTGTCTAGGACGTTCCCAAACCAAAAGATCACTGTAGGGGACGTTAAAATGCCCATTTTGATCCTGGGAGACCTCACCTACCCCTTAATGCAATGGTCCCTCAGTGACTGGATGCAGTCTGCCCCCTCTTCTGTCCCCCACCTGATCCACCCTGCGCCCTTTCTTCCCTCCCAGCCAAAACCGATCCCCCTCCCCACTGGCCCCAGTCTGCTCTCCTCTCCCTCACCCCCTCCTCCGCTGACCGAACTCCGTCTCCTTTCCCTCTCCCTGCCAAACCCTCGGGTCCCCTCCCTGCAGCACGCACGGC